CACACCCCCCCACCCACTCAGCATCGATATGTAGGCTGGAGATCTGAACTCAGGTCCTCACGCGGTATAGCAAGCGGTTTACCCACGGAGCCACATCTCCAGTCTCCGCTGGAGCATTCTCAGTCCTTGCTAGTGGGCTTCCAGGTGGAGAAGCCATGCCTAGTACATCTGTGGAGCACTGATGACTGGTTCCCAACGGCCCGAGGGAAACTGGTCAGGGTCAGCTTGCAATGGGAACGCTCATGCCAGCTTTCTACTTTGCCATCAACCTTGTCTTTCAGGATTCAGTAGAGTTTTAACTACTGCCCACCCTTTGAGTAAAAATTTTGGGCACCGACTTGGGGTGTCAGGCAAATTTTGTTCAGTACAAACTTGATTTTCAAGTTTAAACAGGGACAGAAGAGCACGTTTTACACTTTATGCTTTACGTCCATTCTTCTTATGACTCACAATGTCCCTGAAAGCATGACCAGGCTGTTGTGGCACACGGCAAGTTATAACTGCTTTGTGGATTTGGTCCCACTGGTCCCAGGAATGCTTTGTTTGTATTTCCTCCACAGCATCTGCACGGCATCTCTCTGTAGATAGAACTCCTCTTCCTCCTTCAAAGCCCTGCTCAAATAGCCCTTCTTCCCAGAATCCTTCCATCATCTCTGGCTCCAGGTTCCCATAATCCTTTGTTCACACTTGGGTTTTGATAGGATGTTTTGCCTTTTCAGTTTAAGAGTGTGTGCTCCCAGCTTTGCCCTAAGGGAGCCCCCTGAGGGCTGCGAGGGTGGCTGTCTCCTGGTATCAAGATGAGAACTGGTTAGCTCTGGCGTCAGGGCTTCCTATCCCAGGGCCAGCATTGTCCCCTTTGTTCTCGGCGGGGAGGTGCTGAATCCACTCTGATGCATAGTGACTGGCATGTCCTCTGGGAATGGCTCTCAGGGCCCGGTGGCTTCATGGGTACTGCCAGCCATTGTTAAGCCTGAGGTGGGTGGGGTTCCAAGAGATTCCTGAGACACTCATAGCACTGTGTCTATGTGAAGGATGGTGGCTTGCTTTCACCCCACTGGTCCTCCCAAGTCAAATGTGTTTAATCTTCTACACGTTCCCCTCATTAACTGCCCCCTAAAACAGTAATTAAGCACCCCATTTTAGAGGGAAGTGATCCCTGTAAACATTATCTCCCACGCAGCAGAGACTCTCACTGCTGGTATTGTGACAACTGAGTAATACGGTCTGTAATATGTGGGTTTCTGGGTTTTGTTTTTTTACCTTGAGGGAACAAAGGCTCCCTCAAATGAGATACCGAGAACCTCAAAAGAGCCACCATGACAATACAAACTTTTATTTCATGTGCAGCTTTGTTACAGACACTCAGGAAGGGTTACCCAACAATAACAAGAGAGTCAGTCGGGTGATTGTTCAGACTCTCAGCCACTTGTGAGGTGGAGACGACCAGGAATGTGCGTAAATTGTTAAGGATGGATGCTGTCACCTGAGGCCAGCCTAAACACGCAGTGCAGACACCAGAAGATTCCCCCAGCACCTTTCAGCAGAGCTCTCCAGTGTACAACCAAACCTCTTTATTAAAAATGTGTTCTGCCATCTGTTGGCTATACAATATGACTTCCAACCCCCCACAGCCCCTTAAAAACCCATACCTAAATTTTCCAGGATTTGGTCATTATTAGTCAGAAACTTCAGATTCTGTCGTTACCAGATTTGAATTGGCTCATTAATTAGATAGCCTGCCCCCCTTCCTGTGCTCCAACCAGAAAACCTGTCCTTTGACCACATCAGAACACGCAGGGACACTAACTTCATATAGCTCTCTCTGATTGGCTTGGGGCCCAAGTGCACCATGGGAAAGACCTTGACAGTTGAGGTTCAGTTACTGACAGTTGAAACTGATGAACTAGACTTGGGGGTCCTACTGATGAGTCAAGCTCCTGAGAAAAGAGGCAACAAAGTAAGAAACCAGGCATAGTGGGCTGGACTCTGCAGGGGGAACCTGGTGCTGGGGAAGTGTGGAGTGGCCAGGAACTGACCTGTGAGCCCACAAGGAGACCGTCGTCTAGGAAGGGGTAGGCTGTGTGCTTTGTAATGCGAAGGAGGTAGGTGATGACTGAACACAAAACCGAAATATAATTTGCGCTCCTGCCATTTCAGAGTTGGGACTAGAAAAAGGTGTGTATGTGTATCACTGTTGGAGGCAAGAGCCATGGAGACTGGGCCCAGGAGATGGCAGTACAGAAACTCTATCAGAAGGGAGTGCCCTGTGGGCAGGCCCACCAGAGTGCAGGGGAGCAGTGCTCCCCTCAAGGCCGAACTCCAGTTGTCCATCTTGTTTCTAGCTCTGCTTGAAGGGATGCAGAATTTCTAGATGGAAAGTTGTTAAGTCGTTCATGATAGTGTGTACCTGTTATCTCAGAATTCAAGAGGAAGCAGGAGAGTCGGGAGTTCAAGATCAGCTTCCATTACATGAGACAGTCTCAGAAAGCGAGGGAGGGAAGAGGGAGGGAGGACGGAAGAAGAAGGGGGAGGCAGAAAGAGTTTTAAATTAGTATATTTTTTTAGACAGTATCTCACTACGTAGTCCTTGGAACTCACAGGGATGCACCTGCCTCTGCCCCCTGAGTGAAGGGATAAAAGGTGTGAGCCACCACTGCCCAGACTTAAGAGTTTTAATTTTAAAGAAAGGATAAACTCTATCAGAAAATGTGGGGTGTAGGATAAGGAAAATGTGGTCCATTTACACAATGGAGTACTACACAGAAGAAAAAAATGACATCTTAAAATTTGTAGGCAAATGGTTGGATCTAGAAAGCATCATATTGAGCGAGGTAACCCAGACACAGAAAGACAATTATCACATGGACTCACTCATAAGTGGCTTTTAGACATAAAGCAAAGAAAGCCAGCCTACAATTCACAATCCCAGAGAACCTAGACAACAAGAGGACCCTAAGAAAGACATACATGTATCTAATCTATATGGGAAGTAGAAAAAGACAAGATCTCCTGAGTAAACTGGGAGCATGGGGACCAAGGGAAAGGGTTGAAGGGGAGGGGAGAGACAGGGAGAGGAGCTGAGAAAAATGTGGAGCTCAATAAAATCAATAAAAAGAATGGGGTGCAGCTACCAATACTGCAAAGCAGTCATATTTTAAAGTGACATTAACAGTAAGAGCTATGACAATTCCTGGTGTGGCCCTTGTTCTGTGACTGAGGGCCCCTAGGACGGCTCTCTGAGCATGTCACCAGTAAGCCCATGCAGCCAACAACCCTAGACTGAAACTGGAAAGACCCGTGTTTGGATTTGGAGTAAGAATCGTGTGATGGTGGATTTTAATTGCCAGCCTGATAGGATCTAGTGCCACCTGTAATGGGATGTCTGGGCATGCCTGTGGGGGTATATTGACTGGCTTGTTCATGGGGGTGTGTGGGTTGGGTTAAGTGAGGTGGGAAGACCCACTGTGGGTGACACTATTCTGTGGGCTGGAGTGCTGCAAAAAGAAAGTGAGCTGACTCTGTTCCCTGTGTGTGGATGTGATGGGACCAAGTGCCTCAAGCTCTTGCTGCCTTCACTTCCCCACTGTGGCCCTTGGGACTATGAGCTGCAGGAAACCCATAGTTGAAATTAATTTTCAACTATGTGGCTATTTGTAGAATTCATATGTGGTACATTTTACTTACCTCAAGGTAGGAAACTTCCACCTTGGTTCACTTTGCTTTTTGTTTCAAAATGGCTAGTGTTTGGGATTTGTTTCAGTTAGGTTTCTATTGCTGTGATTAAAAATAAGAAAAAAATAAAGGGAGGAAGGAAGAAAGAAAGAAAGGGAGGGGGAGGAAGAAAGAAAGAAAGGAAGAGAAGTAACTTGCGTGGGGTGGGGGCGTGTATTTCAGTTCACTTCTCTATCCCTAATGGAAGTCAGGGCAGGAGCTCATGGCAGGCACCTGGAGGCAGGAGCTGAAGCAGAGGCCGTGGAGGAGCGCTGCTTCCTGGCTTACCCCTCGTGGCTTGCTTAGCCTGCTTTCTTATGTAAGTCAAGACCATCTGCCCACAAGTGGCACCTACCCCTCTGTCAATCATTAAAGAAAATTCTCTGCAAACTTGCCTAAAAGCCGCCTTGATGGAGGCATTTTCTCAGCTGAGGTTCTCTTCTTAGGTAAAGTTAGCTTGTGTCAAGTTGACAAACAAGCTCAACTTGTTGAGATTTCTTTGGGAATTGAATATACACAACAATGTAAGGTTAAATGTGAAATACTTTTGGCTTCATAGGCACTCTATAAAACTAATTATAAGCCATATTTTTAGTGTGTCTGCATTTTTACTTCGGTCCAGGATGCAGAGCTACTCAATTTCAGCTTCATAATAACATTCAAAAACTTTGATTTAGTTTTTAAGTTTTGGATTTGAGATGTTTAATCTGCGTACATAAATGCTGCTAAACGGGTGTGATACACGCCCGTAATGACAGCACGGGGAAGCTGAAACAGGAGCAGTGAGTTCTTGGACGGCAGGGCTGCAGAACAAATCTGTATCTACCAGGATATGCAAGGCAATAGATGGCTAAGAATTTTCAGATAGGTATTCATCTTCACACTGGCTCTCTGGAACAGTGAGGTCAACACACCATGCATTTGAAAGTTAACATTCAAAGCAGACTAATTTCATTTTTCTCCTCACTCAGGAGAAAGAAGGTCGCTAGGAAAAGAAAAGAATTTTCTCCCAATGCTGTCGTGGCCCATTGCATCAGGTGACAGGGTCAGTAAGCGGTAAGGGCCATGGCAGGGCAGACACTCTTCCCAGGGTACCTCAGGTGAAGATGTAGCTCAGAGCAGGGGATATATTCCCCCCTGACTTATCCAAGTGGCTCTCAGAGGAATATGAACATACCCTTTGCTGAAGGTGAAGAAAAGTATGTGCTTGTTGAAAAAATCTCTGGCCTCCAGCTAGTTTTAGAGACGATGTGAAGGAGATATTTTTAGGATTGGCTTCATGCTTGCTCCAGGATACATGACTATTACGATATATCTATCTATCTGGAGAGAGAGAAAGAGTGGGAGGGGAAAGATGACAGGGTTTCATGTACCCCCGGCTGCTTTTAGACTCATTGTGTGGACAAAAATGACCTTGAACTTCAGATTCTTCAGCTTCCACCTCCCGGATGTTGAGTTGTAGGTTAGATAGGTGTATGCTATCATGCTCTTAGGCGCTGTGCTGCGGATTGGATGTTGGGACTTTGTACATCCTAAGTCAGCATGCTACTGAGTTACCTCTCTACCTTTAGGGGTGGTTTATTTTACTCAACAAAAAATATCACTGTCAGGCTGAGTATGTGACTTAATTCTGGTAAGCTTATCACTGGAAGACTGGGGTGGGATTATCTCCAGTTTGAGGCTAATCTGAGCTGCATAGCAGCATCCATTCTCAAAATGCCCCAAATCCAAAGCCCCTTTCCCTCTAAAAAAAGCCCCCCAACTTTGTCAATAGGTACTAAATATCATTCTCAAATAGGTTTCTATGCTTTGCAAGTAACTGTTTTTGTCGAAGTTAACCCATTTCAAATACACTGTATACCTCCTATAGTCTTTCTCCTGGACAGTGTTCTGCGGTTCCTCAGTGCCTACTTTGGTGTCAGAGTGCACTCTGTAAAGTGTGGCCTGTCCCCTGTGTTTTTCAGCCAGTTGCACTTTGGGTGAGCCCCCACGTGAGTTTTGAGTTTGATGAATACCTCCTCACTACATCACGGGGACTTTGCATTTTGAGTCCTTTCCGTCCACTGTCCTACATTCAGGGATGCAGGGTCTGAAGCCAGTGATAATGCAACCAGCTTGTACCACAACTGCCATCAAACCAACCATCAAACAGGCATGCCTGTGCTGCAGCAACAATTTTGCACTTCAGAATTCATAGGTGCAAGACATTTGCCAGAAGTGGTCACTGATTCTGCTTTATAATGGGAGCTCCTGGGAGGTAGTTTGAGTATGTGGTTTTGTTTGTAATGTATGCAGGCTAGAAGCACAAGCGTAGCCTCTGAGGGTTGGGGATGGGGCTGTTAAAATCCAAAGTGACAGGTACATTTTCACATGCTACACTGAACAGCTTCATACAGAGCGCAGGTGTCAATACCGTTGGGAAGTTGGGGAACACCAGGAGTTCGTAGAGGTAATATGAGGGGACGGTGGATTATCCCGAGTTCCAACTCACAAAAAGCACTTTTACTAATAGGTATTCTAAAGTTGCCTTTTACCCATTTTGTGTGTGAGCGCATGCCTGTGGACACACAGGTGCCATGGGGTGCGTGTGGACATCAGAGAACCGCTAGCAGGGTTGACTCTTCTCAACCAGCATGTGGAGCCAGGGGTTCGAATTTAGTCAATACCATTTTACTTGCTGGCCCCTTAACAGCATTTTCGAAAAAGCTTTTAGTGAGAAATAGAGTCAGGGTTGGTGTCACCTCTTTCGTTCACTTTCCTGGTTGGCACCCGGGGGACACCAATGTGGCGATCTGCTTCAGGGTTTCTGGGGCAGCAGGCACATCCTGGGTTAGAGACCTGGAATAGATCCTCTGACACATGACTGCCCTACAGAATTCCAATCCCATGGCCCATCATAGTAAATAACAAGTCACTATTAGGAGAATCTTAAGACCCGGGCAGAACCTGGAGGAATGGTGCATTTTGTTTTCTAATTCCTTCAGTGGCTACACAATGAGAGACTATTGGGGATGCTCTCTTGTCTTTGGTGACACAGGTGTCATGGGCAGTTGATGAAGGTTATGCTTTGTTCGTAATATCAGTATCTCACTATATCAAGGTACTGTGTCTTAACTGGAAGATGAAGTTGCTGATGCCTGATGACCCACGAGATAGCCCATGGTAGCTTTTTGATTCTGTGTTTTTCTATCAACATGAGCTGTCTGTAGGCCCAGTTCCACCTTTCTATTGTTAGAACAGACTACCTAATAGCTGGTCATTGGGCTTTATTACCAGCACCCACATCGTAAAAAAAAAAAAAAAAATCTGTTTTTCTACCTGTGTGGTTGAGCAAATTAATCTCCATAGTCCCTTCCTCTCACTGTGGTGGCAACCAAGAGGCCCACCCATA